ATTTCCAACATTTATTTGAAGTTTTTATACATTCTTAACAAATTATCCAGTGTTAGATAGCAATGGTACGTCAAATTATAAAAAATTTTCTTTTAAATTATAATTTAATGTAAATTTTAAATATTTTATCCACGTTTTCCTGTTGTTCAAACATTATATCAAAAATTATTTGCCCACTGAATTATACATTGCTTCACATACTGATTTTCCACGTTCAATTTTAATAACAATTTATAAACCTTAGAAATAATAAGTTCATTTTTACAACACAATAGTTTCCAATTCATTTTTTTACAAAATCGAATTTATAGCTTTTTTAAAATCTAATTTAAATCTTTCAATTGTAAATATGTAAACCAATATCAAACACATCCTTATAATTTCCTCTTTAGGATAGAGTCACCATAATTGAAAAAACTATTTGACCATAAATCCACTAATCTAGCCTTGTCACCATTTCTTTTTTTAAAAAAGCTTCCTGGTATGACACCCAAGAACATCTATGCTAAGGTGACCAGACGTCCCACTTTCGGCGGGAAAGTCCCAATTTTTAATAATTTGGCCCGCATCCCGCGGCGTTTTTAAAAAGTCCCGATTTTTGGAAAGAATGCACGACGGTGGGTTGCTCCCGGCTGCCTCCTGAGTCCCAGCTGATGGCTAGAGGGAAAAAAACTGTTTAAACTCTTGCCGCGGGGCTTCAAAGGGCCGCCCTACAGCTGATCAGTGTTAAAAGAAAACAAATGAGTAGACCGATGCCTGCAAAAATAGAAAAAACAGCCCATTACAGCTTCCGCATAGCTTAATTAGCACAAGTTGATTAGCTCGGCTTACATTATATTTATTCCAAACTCTTAGGATGGCATTTCTAACAAAGTGGTTTGCTGAAATCAACATTTACTTTAATCTTATTATATCATAAATAGGCATGCCATTCAAATCTTAATTCATGGCCCTCCTGCTCAAGTAATATCTTATTTTGGAGAGTCACCCATTCTTTTAACCAGATGAAACAACAAACATCAAAGTACAATTTCAAATCTCTTAAACCCAAACCTCTTTCCTTAGCATCTTGCAATAATTTATATATAATTCTTGTTTTTTTCCATTGCCATATAAACGTAGAGATGTTCATTTGCCATTGTTTAAATTGAATATAAGTTATAAATACCATATAAGACGATTGGGTATATAAGACGACCCCCGACTTTTTCTGTTAAAATATAGGGTTTGGGTTATACTCGCTGTATAAGACTACCGCTCTTCAACGCACACCAAATAAAAATTAAAAAACATCAGATTTGATTTCAATATGGTAATTTTAATTCAAATGCTTATGACATGCAGGTACTTAGCAGGAAAACTGTCACTAATAAACATAAGGCTGTTTGTCATCAAACATGTAAACATTAAACAGTGCAATTGGATTAAACTTTTCCTAATTCACTCTAAAGCTGAAAGGAAGGATAAGACAATAAACCCATGGGAGCTGCCATGCTGTTTGTTTTCTAAGATGTCAACCAAAGTGGAACTGATGATGATAGGAGGAAGATAACAAACAATAGAGAGAGAGCAAGTGCCGAGCAAGTCCCTAGCACTTTACACACACACAACACAACACAAGTGGGTCACCCACAATGTAAAAGCAGCTGTGCTAGACCCAAAATGGCCCCTGCAACAAGCAGGAACCTCACACAGCCACAAAAAGCCCAAAAACCCAACTTTCACACTTTACACACACAAAATTCCACATAAAGCTTTGTGAGATTTTGTGTGTTTGTGTAGTTAGAGTGAAACACTACAGAAACACACTAAATCTCAGAAAACTGCACAAATATTATTTTATTTTATTTTTATTTTTATTTTTATATGAAAGCAGCTAAATTTAAAACTTCCTAAACTTTAAATGGCTAGGTCTAAAAAAAGAACAACTAAAAAAAAAACCCAATTAACTATTTTTTTTAAAGCTCCAAAGGGAAAAAACTTACCCAATAGAACAGGGGTCTCCAACCTTGGCAATTTTAAGACTTGTAGACTTCAGCTCCCAGAATTCCTCAGCCAGCTTTGCTTTGCTGACTGAGGAATTCTGGAAGTTGAAGTCCACAACTCCCTGCCTGCTTGATTGCAGGCAGGGAGATTCAGTTGCTTGCTGATGCAATGGATTGCAGGCAAGCGAAGCAAGGCAAGCGTTGCGAGACTAGCAGCTAAGGTAAGCAAGCTGGAGGGGGGGATTTTAAATGGCTTTTTTTTAAATGGCTCTGACGATCCATGCTGAGTTGCCTGATTAGCAGGCAACTCAGCTGGTATGGTCAGAGCCTTTTAGGCTGGTCTGCCTGGTTACAGGAGAACGACACCCGGCGTATAAGACGACCCCCGACTTTTGAGAAGATTTTCATGTGTTAAAAAGTCATCTTATACGACTTTTTACCGGAAAATACAGTAATGGTAAACTTTCAAATAGGAATAGCATCTTTGGTAAAACATTCATCTTAATTAGAAATTTTACGTAATAAAGATAGTTGCAATTTATCGCATCGTAATGGATCTTTGTTTTTTTTATTTTAAACATTTTATTAAGTTATAAGTTATAAGATAAGATACAAAAGTAAATACAAAAGCAGTGGGGGAAGGGGGAAAGAGAAGAGAAGTGAAGGGTGGGAAAAAGAAAAAGTGTTGATTTCCGACTTCCTCTGTTGTAGTAAAATAAGGCATCAACATCAAACTACAACTTTTTGCTTTTTCATAATAATATAAACTAGCCATTTCTTAAAACTGATAGATAGCAAACCCAAAATCAGAGTTTCATTTTTTTCTACCTCGAGCACAAAGTTCAGAAGCGGTCTCCATGTGGAAACAAAGGTACTTATATTCTTTTCTTTACTCAAAATAGTCAATTTAGCCATTTCTGCCAACTCCATCAGCTTCTGCAACCATTCGTCCATAGTGGGAATTGAAGCTTAATTAATCTATTAATCAATTAATTAATAGATCTTTGTTAATATCACTCCAAAGAGGCACAAAAGTTATTTTGAAATAGTTTAGAATTTGTATTTGTCAGTGTAACCCCCAGGTATTCCACCTTTTTCTCCTTTTTAAAACCTGACTATTTTGCCAATATTTCACGATCCTGAGAGGTCATATTCTTAACAAGAATCATTGTTTTTTGTTTATTTATTTTAAAGCTTGCTAAAGCTCCAAACTCATTTTCTTTCTTCATAAAATATTCTATGCTGGTTTTGGAGTCTTGCAAAAAATATATAACTAAATCATCAGCAAATGTTCTCTGTTTATAAAGTTATTTTTTAATATTCATACATGTTATTTTTTTCATCTTGCCTAATATCCCTATTTAAAACTTCCAGTTTCAGTATAAACAACAGGGAGGGGGATCCTTGCCTCATGCATTTTTGGATTTCACATGGTTTAATTAATTCTCCATTAATACTAATCTTTGCTTGCTTGTGATGTGTAGAACACTTTGATCCCTTGAATAAATTTTACCCCCAAGGCCATGTCTTCCAGAACTTTGAAGATAAAAACCCAATTTAAACTATCAAATGCCTTCTCTGCATCTAAAAATATTAAAACTGCCCGTTTCTCATTGTAAATATTTAATAATGTTAAGAACAATCATTGTTTCTTCAACTGTCTTTTTTGCAAAAAGCCAGATTGATCTTCATGAATATATAACTGTAAAACCTTCTTCAATTTTGCAGCAAAAAGTTTGTAGCCATTATTTAATAATGAAATTAATCTATAGTTTTTTTTATTTATTTTCAGGACATCTTGATTCTTCTTTGGTAATAACACAATATTGGCTTTTTTCCAAGTTTGAAGCATCTTTTGTTCCATATAATACTCCATTCATTATAACTTTTATTGACTGAAGGAGTTGGTCCTCTAAACATTTATAATATTGACTTGTAAGACCATTTGGATCTGGAGTTTTTCCTGTTTTCATTTTTTAATAGCTTCTGATATTTCAAAAGAAGTTACTGAATCATTTATAAGTTGTCTCTGAGCTTGTGAAAGTTTGGGAAAAAAATGTTTTTAAAAAAATTTGATTTATATGCCGCCCTTCTCCGGAGACTCAGGGCGGCTTACAGTGTGTTAAGCAATAGCTTTCATACTTTTGTATATTTTATACAAAGTCAGCTTATTGCCCCCACAAACTGGGTCCTCAATTTACCTACCTTAGAAAGGATGGAAGGCTGAGTCAACCTTGAGCCTGGCAAGATTCGAACTTACTTTAATTGCAGACAGCTGGTGTTAAATTACAGTGCTTTTGTCTGCAGAGCTATCCAGTTTTTTTCAGATAATTATCTATTTTATACATATCAAATTCCTGTTTCTTGTAAAGATTGGAATAAAAATTTGAAATGACTCTTTAATAAGACCATTAACTGTTATTACATTGTCATCTTCATGGATTTTCTCAGTTATTGTGTTTTCTCTTTCCTTTCTTAATATATATTCCAGCCTCTTCCTGGTTTATTTGTAAACTCAAAATGATTTTGTTTACATAATTCAGTTTAATTTCTATTTCTTGAACTGTTAACCAAGGCAATGGTTGATGTAACAGTTTAATTTGATGTAAAATTTTAGAATCCATAGATGTATTTTGCAATTCAATTTCTATATTTCTATTTTTATCCACTATCTTGTGCATCTTTTCCTGGAATTTCTTCTTATATTGTATAAAATATCCCCTCATGACCAGTTTACTGGCACCCTAAACCCCAGGTTATTATCAAAATATTTTTTTTAATTTTTTTTTTTTTGCAGTCCTATACAATCAACTCTTTTGTAAAATAGATTCAATTAATTTCCATCTATAATTAAGAATCTTTTTTCTAAGTATGAAAAGAACTGGGTTATAAGAAAGATTTAGGCAAGATACCAACTTTTAAAATTTTATTTGCAAGACTTACTTAGAAATACTTACCATATCAATTCTTGAAAAAAATTTGTCACGTCTTAGATATAAGTTTTTGTACATTTACCTTTTTGCTCTAAAAGAGGATCTTCTTCGCGCAGTTTGCTTCCCCTGCCTTTTTGGGGTTTTTTTGAAACAACATTATTTGTGAAGCTCTGTGACTTTAAGATGGCAATGAGGGCAGGTGTTCCTGTAACTGAGCCAAAATAAGGAAGCTGGAAACTACTATAGAAACCACTTCAAAAATTTAAGGACTTAAATGTGTTAGAGGTTTTATTTATTTTAAACTCTCTTTGCTGAACCACTTCCGTTTTAGAATAAAGACTCGTTAAATGGTACTTTTTAAATGTGTTGTGGAGAGGATAAAAAAATTCCAATTTTACTTGCTCCTGATTGGATAAAAATTAACATCAGACTCAAAGTTATTTGACTTTAAAGGAATATTTGACCACAAGAGGGAGCATAGAAACTGAACTTTACTTGTAAATTATATCGTAGTGTTGTAGCTAATTGGACACCGAGAGAGCCAAAGACTGTAATATTATTAATATTACTAAATTAAATGGATTTTCTTTTTTAATCTTTAAATTTTAGTTATATCTTGGGAGAACTGACAATGACAACACGAAAAAGAGAGAAGAGGATCAGGGAATTGGAACCCCTAAGAGCTATTTTGGAAAAATGTAAAAGTAAAACAAATGAAGCAATCCAGGGAGCAAAGTTTGAATTAAAAATGGATACACTCCCAGAGGAACTCTGTAAAGAGATTCACCACTTAACTGGAGATGTTAAACATATAAAGGATAAAGTAGACTGGAGCATAAATCAGAGAAGAAGGATGTCCAGTATGAAGCTGAATTGGACGAAACAACTCTTTTGGAACTACTTAAGTTGTTACCGGTTGCTGCTTAAACAACTCCAGTTAAGATTTTGAGTGGTTCATAAACTGTCTAGAGAGATATTAGATCAAGAATGATTAAATCTTTGGCTCATTTAATTAATTGAGAAAAAAAAGAAATTAGAATCCAAAGTGGACAAAATATATAAACTCCAGATTTGTCACCATGAGAAAAATCACCAAGAGATATTTTAGTAACTTTGTAAGAACAACGAGAGATTACATTTTGGATTGCTACTCTAAATTAAGAATGGAAAATGTGGATATAATTGTTTTAAATGACATTCCTGTCAGAATTTTGGGAAAGAGAAAATATTACTTCTTCCTATTAGATATCTTGAAGAAGATAAAAATTCCATTTTACAGAGACAAACTTGAAATAATGATATTTACCTACCAAGAAGAGTCAGACTGAACTCTACAGAGAAACCCAAGGAGTTCTTGATTAAACATAAACTAATATTGGACCCAGCTGAAGAAATGTATATTTCTTGGAAGCAGATCAATTTCAAAAATATGATAAAGAAAGGCTGTAGAGAAGACTGCACAGGAACTTGATACAATTCCAAAGATGGAGACTAAGTACATAACTACTCTGCCTTAAGGCAGCATGATGGCTCAGCAGTTAAGATGCTGGGCTTGTCAGTTGAAAAGCTGGCAGGCCAGGTTCGAAACCTGACTGCTACATGATGGGGTGAACTCCCTTCCTTGCTCTAGCTCCTGCCAGCCTAGCAGTTAAAAAACATGCAAATGTGAGTAGATAAATAGGTACCACTTTGGTGGGAAGGTAACGTTGCTTCAGGACATCATGCTGGCCACAAGACTGTGGAAATGTCTTGGACAGCACTGGCTCAATGGCCTTGAAACAGATGAGTACCGCCCCCTGTAGTTGGCAACCACTAGCGGAGTAAAATCTGCATTTACTTTTTACTTTAACTCTTACCTTCATTTTGATAGAGAAGACATTCACAGGCTGCATACCATATGCAGACAGTTATTTATCGTTATTTGCCATGGCAAATTTTATGATGTCTCTAGACCATTTGTTCGTTGATAAAACATGTTAGCCAATGAATAAACCCCTTCTGGCAGCAATGTCAATAAGACTCATCATCTCTGTCACTGGCACTATAAAAGAAGCTTTGGAGAATAATGGAATGTTACATGATCGCAGAACCTGATTGAAAAGAACCAATAGCAACCTGAGAGCTGTTTGTGAGCAAACCATGCAGAAGTGAATGTTGAGAAAGACAGTTCCGGGGCACTACCTGCTGATTTGAAAACAATACTGCTGTTTGTGTGTTTGTGTAGGCATAAATATATGCATTTTCTGGAATATAAATTAACTGCTTCTTATACTTCAGCCCAGAGTCTGCAGTACCTGCCATGGCCCAGTTAATGACTGGAAAATTCTAGCCTGACATGATGACCTTATATAATGGTATCACAGCAGGAAATGAGATAATATAAGCAGGCTTCTGTCATCAACATAGATAATGAGGGCTAAAGGAAATGCAAATCTCCTCTTCTAAAATGGCAGCATTTCAAGAGAAGGAAGGATCAAATCTTGAAATACATTTCCTTGCATTCAGTCATCTATTAAGGATTGTTTTCCTGAAATAAAAGGTATAGTTTCTATCCATATTCCTTTTCTGTTTGGATGCTAAATAGACCCAAATATTATTTGTCAGAATTTGCTACATATTAACGTCAACCTGATAACTATGGAATTATCTCTCATACCTATATGGATGAAATCATATATCAAAATGAGCAGCTTCTGTATGAAAAGAGCAGGTGCTTAACAGTCTGACTTGGGTTAAGAGAGCTATAACAGCTGAATAGAAAATGTTTCAGTTTTGTTCTTCTCAAAGAACTACAAGATGTGCGTTGCTTTTGAGTGTTTTGGCTAAGATCAAGTGTAGTAAAAGTGATCAATACCTTATGGAAAGTTCTCTGTTAGAAAGCCAGTGTCAGTTATTTATAGCAGAAGTCAGTTATTTCACAGCGAGTATTGACCAACATTGCCATAGATGGCTGTGTAATTCCTGTTTATGCAGATTGTAAAAAAGGTCATATACACATAATGAAAACTATTCTTTGAGGTGCCTTTGTAGGAGAAAAGTACTACCTGGAAAACTGTTTAGCAAAAACAAAAATTAAACTTCTACAGTTAGTTCTCCAAAGTCTGGATAAAACAAAGCTGTCATATAGAAAATAATGTGGAAAAACCTGACATAGAAACACAGCCTAGTTCAGAAACTAAGGTGTATTTCTACACTAAAGTATTTCTACATTATATACAGTTACCGTATTACTATGGAAAATGCCAATCCAAATCGGTCCAAGCATTCTTTAGAGGAAGATTGATTATGCCAACATCCTAATAGATTCTATACAATGAGAGACTGTAACATATTATTTCATTTCTCTTATATCAAACATAAAAGGAGACACATTTTCACATTCTGAACTTATTTTAAACTACCGAAAATTACAACCTACCCCAAAAATAAATCTTAGCCTGATTTTTTGGGGTGGGCCTAATATATGCCCTACCCCAAAATAAACCCTAGTGAAGGGTGGGTGTGGCCAGTACAGGAGGCAGCTCTTCCCTTCCCCGGTCACATCATGGCTGCTGGGCCCCTTAACTACAGCCTGCGGATCAGCTGATCCAGCAAGGGCCGGAAGTTCTGTCTCTCCGGCTGCCTGGAGATATTTCCAGTGCACTCTTGCTAGCCCCAGCCCTGCCCACAGCGCCAAGTAATCTTGCAGCCGAGTGTCACGTTCCGGCCATCAGCAAAAAATTCAGACAGCCAAAGATGGTTAACTGACAAGCTTTATCCAATAAGCTGTAACAACTGGCACAGAGTGACAAACAGGAAATAGGCAAAGTCAGTGCTAATGTGGTTAATCCCTCACCCTTTAAATAGTGTCAGCTTCACTCCTATAGCTCCACCCCTGGAGCCCGCCCCTATAACCTCCCACCACTCAAGTGGCGTCCTCCAGTGATGACGATGTAGCCCAGTGTGCAGGCGATGCACACTGCGGACACACTTCACAGGCCTCGCCACCCATCCAGCCATAGCAGGCTTCGCACGGTTCTGGATACAGCAAAGGAACCTGCCAGGCCGCCCCACAGCCAGTAAGTCTTTAGTGGTCTACGGAGACCTTGCACCGCTCAGCTGTGCGGCACACAGGGTGACGGCTACATGCTGGCAGGCATGGGTTGTGGCACGGCATGTGGGCATGGCCTTGCCTACCAGTGCGGTGTGTGGGTGTGGACCCACTGCCCAGCTGGCAGCTCCTGGTGCGGCATGCGGATGTCCCTGTGCAATTGGCAGCCACGGCGACCCAAGGGCTGACACTGAGGACCTCTCTGTTCCGCAGCTCACCTTGTGGCTATGGAGCAGGAGACAAGGACAGTTGCACTCCACCAGGCCTGGAGCTCAGGTGTTGTTTAGGCTGCTGCTACTATGAGGCAGAAAGCCATGCGGCTCATCAGAATAGGCTTCTCCAGGCCTCTACCCTGCTACTGCTTGAGAAAAGGACAGGCAATTGTGGAAGATTGTGGGAAGCGCATGCTTATGATAGAAGCAAATCCCAGCCTGTCCCTTTCAAGTGATCAAATGTCTGTGTGTGAGAGATAGAATGAGAGAGAGAAAGAGAAAGAACGGAGGGGAGTAAGAAGAATTGCAGGCAACGCTGTTTAAAAGGGTTTCCTTTCTGCCATTTCTCCTCTCCGCTCCACCCACCTGCCTGCCCACTGTGCCTGGGCCTGCTGGCACCGTCCGCCCCAAACCAAGTGGCAGGGAGGCTTCGGGACAGCACCCTTCTAGCGCCCTCTGCCTTGGCAAAGCTGAAGCACGCGGGGGGGCACAGGGCTCCTCCGATGGTCTCCCCAGTCCCACCCCACTCAGGGGCGGCCCATACAGAAGATTAACAAAATAGAAATAAATACAGTTATATATATATATAAGATATATTTTGTATGCAATAGTACTATTGGACTGTACATGACTATAGATTAAAACATATAGAGTCATAAATGTATAGAGCGTTGTGGTACAACTATGAAAATAATGGTTATAACTATGATGTACAATATTATATATTTAAAAGAGACGATACTTTATGACTACGATAATAATGGTTATAATCAGGGTGTATAATACTATGTATACTTAAAACGGACTTGATACAGCCAGTTCACTGTCGTTGCAAAACTGGAAATGTGATGTATAATAAAGAGAAATGCATAATAAAAATATTT